ATGACGGACAAAAACTTTTCTTATAAAAAATTTTATTTTTGGAGAACTTAATTAAATAAAGAAATAATTAAGTCAAAAATATATTTGCATAATTTTAAATGTAAATTTGACTTCTTCTTTTTAAACTTTACTAAATTATAGTTTTCACCTTTTAAAAAAAAAATCGTTTTTTAAAAGATCAAATATTTTATCAAAATTAAATAATATACATGTAAATATTAAGGACAAAATGTAAAAAACAAGAAATTATAAGTATAGACATTACTTTTCCCTCTCAAGTTGTGTAAAGGTAGAATGTCTTACTGCTGAAGTAACATATGCCCCATCTTATTCCTACAGCTACCTACCTACACATCTATTCATTAATTTCAGAGTCTCCCCAGAATGTGATATATAGTAATGAGAAATGTTATATAAATATAGAGCTTCTACAAATATACTGAAACACTACATACATAAATATAAGCATATTGCAGAGATTATGGGGACACAGTAGCAGGTGTGATGAGAGTGTTTGGCCAGATTGCTTGTATTGTGGTGTTGGTTAAAACTTTGTGTCATGTGCCAACGGCAAACATATCAAAAATAGCTTAGATGGACCCAGATCTGTGCTCTGTGTGTTTGGCCATCTTCATCATGGACAGCATGTCACAATGTGCACACAGCTATGTGCCAAATCATTGTTTGGCAATGGCAGACTTATTATGAGACCATGCAGCATTATTTTTCTGTTTTTGTTTTCACTGTTTATTAGTTTTTTTGTGAACAAAGTATGTATGCAAACAAAAATGATGACCCTATGCAAAAAGGGCATAATTACCATGTTGATTTTGTGATATTTATAACTTGCTTTGGTGGGTCTAACCAACTATTGAAGTGAACAAGTTGGGTTGAGAATTTAAAATGCATTAATTGGTCCCATATGCAGGTGATCATTTTCTACACTTATCTTTAATGGTTGCTTTTGATTTAATTAGAAGGAAACAAACATAGTTTGAAATAAGGCCCTCCAACTGCATTGGTCACAGCAGGAACAACAGACAACGATTGATTTACATAATTTCATCCTTGAAGAAGAGAGATTGAACTAACAGGGTCATATATATATACATTTTTTTTTTCAAGGAAAAACTAAAGACACACAAAGCAAAAACTATGATGACCTTTAAATTTCACAGGAGATGCTTCATACACATGAATGTCTAACTTTATACACAAATTTTTAGTTATTAATTTTGTCACTAATTCTTCGATTTTTTTTTATTATTATAACTGATCCATAGTTAATGAGTTGTATTTGATAGTAAAAATCCATAAATTTTGATGAGATCATGTGGGCTAATTATTAACACTTGCTTGGATGAGGACATTAGAAACTTTTTTTTTTCATTAATTATTAGTACTTTAAAAACAGGTTAATATTTTATTATAAAATTTAAAAGAAAACTAAAAATAAAATATTATGTATTTTATATTTAAATAAAAACATTGAAAAATATGGATAATTTAAAATATATTAATTGTTTTCTTATTATAATTAAAAACCATGTGAATATAGTATTACATAAGAAGAAATTAGAAATTTTGTAACGGTAAAAAAATTTTCTTCAATATATTTTAAATAAATAACTGGATAATATTAGATAAAGATAAAGTTTAAATGTTTATATCGATGATTTTTTTTATTTGAAAGTGAGAAGTTTACTATATTTTGATTTATATTGGAGAACTTTACTCGTAGCTCATTTTATTCTTTTGTTAAATGGCAAAAATTGATATAATATTATTCTTAATTGTTATGTAATCACTTAAATTATATTGATTTTAATCTATTTTCTTCCAATATAAGATGAATTGGTAGAATACATTGATACAAGAGCAAAAATCATAATTGTGAAGATAATTGAAGAAAAATTGAAATAAGAAAGAAGATTTTCAACTAAAAATTCGCGAGCAAAAATAAGTTAAAACTCTTTGGAATTTACTCGCTCAAGCGTCATCCATTCTCACTTGAGTGAAAATACAACAAAGTTCTAATGTTTTTACTCGCTCGAGCGAATATTACTCGCCTGAGCGAAAGTTGATGTTTTCGCTCAAGCGAGTAATTGGTCGCTTGAACGAATGATGTGAGACCCAAAATCTTTTATAAATAGATAAGAAGCATTTTGAAATGGAATTGGAGGTTTTTGGATAAGAGGCGCGACAAATGTTCTGTTTTTCTTCAGTTCTTTATTTCTTTAATTCTTTTTCACATGGATGCTTGTAATGACCATCATAAGTGACTAACTTCATTTTCTTAGGATTGAGTGCACTTCCTTTGAACTTTTTTGTATCTTGGTGATATTTTGAGATATTAATATATGTTCTTGATATTATTATTCTTATCATTTGTGTCTTTGAACATTTATTCTTGATGTTTAAAATATGATTGAAAAATATATCTTGAACCCTAGATCATGGTAAGAATATTTGTTATGTTAATTGTCAGGAATTGAATGAATGTATCAATTGCTTAACACCCTAAACCTAATGTTGGAAAATCTCTTAATTGTGTGAGGAATCAATATTTACTAGGTTTTCTTATGAATTTTATGTGTAAATAATCAGCATGAATGATTTGAGTAGGTGACATCAACATTGATAATTTAATTGATGTTCTTAATTGACTTAGCTATTATACAAAAGAGGAAAAAATAAAGTAAATAAATCCTAAGTTCTTTTATTTGATATTTTTTAAACGCACTTTACAATTCTTTATTATTTATTTTAAACTCAAATCTTTAGGAAAAACCTAATTTGCTTTAATCCACTTAGTAAACATATGATTTAGAATTTTTATTAAAATCATTTCTTATAAGATCGACTTTTATTTAATTAAAATATTATACTACGAATGATAATTTGTTACACTGGTCAAATATTCAACACCCTCTCATACTAACATTAAAACAGATGAAGTTATAAACTTGAACAGTGTTTTTTCAAGATTTGATAGAGCTAATAGAAATATCAGACCAAGAGAAAATCTAAAAATAATAATAGTATCAATCAAATAACAATAATTATGGCCTACTTACTGATAACACATGGTGAAGCAATCCCATAAGCATTTGATTTTCTGTGTTAGAAAGCTACATATGAACTGACATTAAGCTGAAAAGTCATGGATTATTAGCAAAGCCATGATTGCAAATTGGTTTACCTTTTTTTTCTTGTATCCACAATCCAACCACCATTACACACCCCCACGAGTGTCAATGTCCTTGTCCTTAACTACAAAATAGGTAGATTGAATTATCCATGCATTCCCTAAAATTGTTTGCATAAATATTTAGTCCTGGTTTACATCACTTCTGTTGGTGTTTATGATACTGTGTTTTTCATTTGGCTAAAAATTAAAAAGCAAAATATTTCTTCTCTTCCTTTAATCCAAACAAAACACATATAGGATCAACGAAACAAAGGAAATGGAGTTTTTTTTTTTCCTTTTGAAATCAAACAATTGTTTAATTTTGATGAGAAATGAAGAAAGGACAAGTATTTATCCTTATGTGAGAGTGAGTCCTTTTCTAAAAGTGCAAGAACACAACATTCTTTCCCATAACTTGTTTTGTCATTGTTATTGGTGAGCTTTGTTTATTATATTTCTCCTATTTGTCGGTTTCTTTGTTTTTGAGATGTACATTTGTTTGTATCAAAACACACAATCATAGACAGCTAGCTCCTTCCAGTTTATTGACTCCAATCATAATGGCAAATCGCAGATAGCTACTCTTCATCTCCTAACATTAACAATAATCACTTTCTATTTCTTCATTTTTAATGAATCACTTTATTCAATGTACACTTCATACCTATTCAAACCATGTTTCTTCGTTTTGTAGGCTCGGATTTCATTAGTGCATAACTAAATATAATAAGATATCATTATCCACAAGCTGTATTGACTGTAAGTATGTATGTATAAAAATTCATTATATTATGGCTACATGCAATATTTACTCATCAAAGAATTTTTGAAAATTTAGCAAGAACCAATAGTTTTTTTTTTCTCTAACTCAATGAGAACTTTATCTGGATTCAAATCTTAAAAACAAAAGTTGTTAAAATAAAAAACCTCATGTTCTTTCTAACAATCAAAATTTATTGGTGTTTATAAAAAGGTAAAGAAACTTAAATTTTATAATCAATTTAATTTAAATGAAAAGTTTGATTCAGGTCAATTTACCATTTTTACTAGTTTATCTCCAAGCTAACATCAACATTGTACAATGCCTATATTCTCTTTGAAAAATGAGTTGATACAGAACAGATGGATTGATGAAGATAATCCAAGAGAAGAAAAGGTTGGTCCCAATTATTATTGTTTGTTGGGAGCATGAGAATGTGATGTAGACAGATTGAGGTTCGTGCCAAAAGGATACTTTTATTTATTTGTTTGTCTATATTATAATTTTTGTGGTTGGCACTTGGCATTGACATGTATGAACTGTGATGTGAAGTTATCACAACAACTGTAATTATTCTTTGCTGCTCACTCACTCACTCACTCTTCTCCTGTGAATGACACCGACAATAATTAAAGCAAACAAGGCATGGCCACATACAATTCTCTCTCTGCTCTCTTGAATGAAAAGTTACCAGAGAAAGGAAAATGGACCTCTTAACCACCCTCTACTCTATCCGCTTTCAGCTTTCATCATCCTCATTGCAAGTACCAAGAGTTGAACCACTCTCTACACATCTATCTTTCTAAAAGCACAACGTGAGTGTGTATGTGTGGGTGTACACGACAACAGCATCAGCATGTTCTGTTGGTCCCACGTTCCAAACTCAACAAAATCCCCCTCTTCCATTCGCACATTCTTTTCACTCACCCCATGTGCCTGTGCTCGCCTCCCTCTTCTGCATTCCATGTAAGAGGAGGGACTTAATAAGGTTAAGGATCCAAAGCTTTCAACTTTCAACCTCTCTTTCTTTTGGATCATCTTGCTCCTGCTATGGACCCAAACACTCGTCTTGATCATGCCCTCTTTCAGCTCACTCCAACCAGAACCAGGTTCTAATGATTCACAGTTCACAGACATGTGATAAGTGCAGCAACAAATGGTTTTGACTTTGTGTGTTTCTTGTTTTGTATGTTGAAGGTGTGACCTTGTTGTTGCTGGTGGAGGTGTGAGTGAAAGATTGGCTTCTGGGCTGTTAGAACCGTTTCTTTCTCACCTAAAGAGTGCCAAGGATCAGATTTCCAAAGGTGGTTATTCCATCACTCTGCGTCCACCAGGTGGATATGCTCCCTGGTTCACTAAAGCCACCCTCCAAAGGTTCTTTACTCTTTTTTTCCTTTTTTCGATTCTATACTTCTACACTTCCTTTTGATTTTATGTTTTGGTTTCCAACCAGTTGGGGGTTTGATAAATTGAGTTAGAATGTTCCGAGTGCAGAAAATTTTGAATTTTGGATCACACCCAGGAATAAAGATTAGCCACCTTTAATTACTTGTGTGTAGGTTATAATCATGTAGAATGATGTTATAATATTAATGTTGTTTGTCTGTTTTGGTTCATTTTCAATAGGTTTGTTAGATTTATAAGCACTCCAGAAGTTCTAGAGAGGTTTGTTACAATAGAGAAGGAGATTGTGCAGATTGAAGGGTCTATCCAGTCGAGTGAGAGGAGCAACTTGGTGGCAGAAGCAGAAGGTATGGGTGGATATCTTTTTCACGTTATTGACTTGTGTTGATTGGAATTGGATATCCCAGAACGTCTATCCCCTTTCTCGATTATTTTCCCCTATTATCATTTTCATTAAACATTCCTGTGATAAATTCTTATTTCTTTGATTAATTTTGCAACTATTCAATTATTAAGGCCATTACTTTTTTCTTCTTTGAGAGTTGTGAAAAGTATTAGATACTAAACTGACATGTTAGTTATGGCTAATCTGATTGGAAGGATACCAAATTACTTTGATTTTTGGTACCATCTTCCTTAAGAAAGACTAGCACGTGAACCCGTGGCGATTATCATTAGCCACTTTTATGAAGCCAAAACCAGTTGTCATGTCTTTTTCTTTCCTTTCCACACTAGTTTATCTTCCATTACCACTTTAAATAAGACATGGGGAAATAGAAATGGTAAGAAGCAGTTTATCTTCCATTTACACTGTCTCTATCATTGTAATAATGATGTAAATTTGAAAAAAAAAAAGAAGAAGTTGTGACTCCAACTTTAAATTTTGAGCTGGTAATAACAGGAAACATGTTATCTGCAGATGGACGTGTCAGAAGGTCAACAACTTCCTCTAAGGTATGTAAATATGACTTTTGCTAATGTTTTATTCAGTTTGGTAAGATATTGAAACTCTTGTCACAGCTGAAAGATGAGCAAGCTGGAGCCAATGAAGATGGATCGGAAGAAAACTCCAGGCATTGAATTTTGGTGTTTTCCTTTTGCTGTTTTGTATGGCATGTTTTTGTTCTTCAGGATGTATCTAATATGCATTACAATATTTTTTTCATCACTTTTGAATGAACAGAGTTCGCCTTCAACGTGTTCTAGATAATCGTAAAGCTATGCTTTGCAAAGAACAAGCAATGGCCTATGCCCGTGCTCTAGTTGCAGGATTTCACCCAGAATCTGTGGATGATCTTATATGTTTTGCTGATGCATTTGGAGCTTCACGTTTAAGGTCAGCAAGCATACCACGAAATGTTCAATGCACAAAAATGACATTGATCAATTGAAACAGTTTACTTTGAACTAGGAAAAAAGATAATAATGATAAATAACACCTTATCCTTTGGGCATAATGGTTCAACCTTTATTAACTCTTCACTGCTTGTTTTCATTTTACACTTTTGTCACTGAGATATTATTTATGCAGGGTTACTTTTTTGAGATATGACATGAATGGCACCTACCTCAAGCATATATATACTGTTTAAGTGAAAGTCTTTTCAAATGATTAATGGTAAAAAAATTAATATAAAATAATAATTTGGTTGACTCTTTCTCCAAAAGTTATGAGAAACATTTGTCACATAATGTGCAGATGTGCGTTTCTTGTTATGAGCCCTATTTGCCAGGAAGGAAGAGTGGTAAAAATAAAAGGGGAATCCCCCTTAGTTGACTCCATGTACTGTTTAGCCTTTAGAAGACCAGGACAAACAGTATTTTGGTATATCTGTTTTTGTACTCCGGCATAATAGCTGAGTAGACTCATTGAATATGATATATTCACATAATTCCTTAATATAGGATTATCGTATGAAGATTCAGTATTTCGTTGTAGCAAAAATCTTCACTCTTTATTTCCCTGAAAACTTCTATGTTTTGCTATTTAATATAAATTTTGATGCATGTAGGGAAGCCTGCATAAATTTCTTAGAGCTGTGCAAACAAAAGAATGAAGACAAGCTCTGGATAGATGAGATAGCAGCCATGCAGGCATCTGCTCAGCGTGAATTGCCATACTTGAGGACATCTGGAATCATGCTTGCTGGTGAAGATGATACAAGCAGTAAATTAAATGGCTTGGTTGATGCCTCAATTTCTGAGTCAACGCCAAGTCATGCAAGTTTGGACGGCCAAGGTATCCTCATTCACTGCCATGTGGTTCAGTATCTCAGTCTTTGCCCTCTGCTGAGTGCAACAGTTCCTAAAAAACAAATATGTTTTTCTGAGACCATTTGCCTTTAGCCATACTTATCTTTGATAAAAATACATTATTGTTGTAGTCTCACCACTGTTTGTTTATTTTCTTCATTGTTAAACTAAAGGATGTATATTTTTTTTGAGAAAATATATATTTAATACTTGAATTCCCTTTTAGTTGATCTACTGTGATTGCCTCAAAATTGAGCGCTTGATCAGACTTATACTAATCTACTTGGAGCTTTTCGCAAAATGTACCTGAAACAAAGTCTATCAAATAACTTAAATCTTTTGTACAGGTAGGTCCATAAGTTAGTTATTTGTTGATTTTGAAAATTTGCAGATTATAGCTTGCCAACATCAGGTCAAACACCATCAACAGATGGCAGAGCTCCAATACCAATGTCCTGGCCAAACCATGTTCCTCAGTACATTCATAACCTTCAGGGTCATTCATTTCAACAAATGCCTCCATACCAAGGGTACCTCTATCCTGGTATGCAGGTTCCTCCTTCATATTATCCAGGGAATATGCATTGGCCTCCAAGTGTGGATGACTCCCATATTGTTCATGACCGAGACAAGGATTACCATAAATCATCATATAAGAAGAAGAAGAAGAAGAAACATTCTCAAGTACTGGAGCAATCTGAAGAAGAAAGCTCATCAGCATCCTCTGACTCTAGTTATGAGAGTGATTCGGATAACCATTCAAGCCAAGGTAAAAACAGATCTTCAAAAGAACATCAGCACAAAAAGAAGCATGGCAAAAAGTCCTCAAGGAAAGTAGTTATACGCAATATAAACTATATAACCTCTAGTGGAGATGGTGAGAAGGGTGGTGTCACAGAGGGAAGTTTGTCCAATGAGGAAGAATTTGTCAATGGAGATTCCCTGAAACAGCAAGTAGAGGAAGCTGTAGGATCATTGGAGAGAATAGAAAAGTCAAATTCCCGTCACCATAAGAAACGCCACAGTTCAAAACACCCCGGTATGCTAAATAGTTCAACAGACACTGATTCCAATGGCATAAAGGGCAATAACAACTGGGATGCTTTCCAGAATCTTCTTTTGAGAGATGATGATTCTACTCTTGATGCAGAAGAACAACCTGTGAAGTTTCAGGAGGAATATATTGTCAATCAGAAGTTTGAGAATGGAAGGTCGAATGAATTTAAAAATGAACCAGACATTACACGAGTAATTTCAAATGATTCCTTTGTTGTGACACAGAGGGAATTCAACAGAGAGAGTCAAAATCGTGTTTATAACTTTAAGGAAGGGAAGGATTCACTTTCATTAATGAAGAAAAATAATAGCACGGATGCAGAGATGCTGTTTTCTCAGAGAAATGACGAATCAGGTAGCTATTCCATGTCCACTCTGTCTGGCAATGGTCCAGAATCTTCCCTCATTAAACGCCAGAAAGAAGAGGATTGGTTCATCATCAATCAGTCTCATAAACCAAGAAATGAGGATCAGAATCGAGATTTCAGCATGTTTAATGGTGTTGCTACATCACCAGCTACCGATTCACTTCTCTTACAGAAAAACAAGAAAGACATTATGACTGATGACTCTTTTATGATTCAAGCTCGATCAGCAGAAGATCAATTCAATTCTCAGTCAGCAGCTGATCTAAGTTTGGTTTCAGACATTGTTGGGGCTACTGAATTCAATAACAGCACACAAGAAGGTTCACACAATAAGACTGAAATCTTAAATTCCCATGAGCCCGAAGACCTCTTCATGGTTCTTGATCGTGATTCAGCGGCTGAGCAAAGTGTGGCTCCCTGGAGCATGGAAATGGATTATGAGAATAACATTTCTTCAAATGAAGCTAATAGAAAGCTTTATGAAGTTGAAACAGATCAAAATCATCCATCTAATAAGGAGGGTACTGATAAAAAACCTTCTGGAATGAGAAATGGGAAAGTTTCAAGTAAAGATGCAAAGTCTAAGGCTCTAAATGCATCTCTTGGGAAAAGCAAATCTGATATCACATCAAGAAGCAAATCATCCCCTGGAAGCAGAACTGGAGTTGTGAAGAGCAAATCTGAGAAGGTAAATATAATAACTGTCATGTCTCTACCAATTTCCTTTAAAGGTTAAGTAAAAGAAAGGGTAATAAGTTATCCATAACTTCTCTTTTGGGATACTAAATTGCTTTTGTTAGGATAAAGCAACACTTTGTATTGTGCCAAATACATATGGGAGGGTACTTCTCTTAATATTTTCTACAGAAGTATCACCATAAGTTATTGGAGTACCTCATTTCCCGACTGATCTTTAAATTATTACCTTTATTGCCCACTTTATTTTGTAGGAAGAGGAAAATAGAAAGAGAAAGGAGGAATTGATGATTCAGCGGCAGAAGAGAATTGCTGAAAGAAGTGCTTCCAAGAAAACTGGTATGGGAACCAAGACTTCCTTGACTTCTGCAAAGAAAGAGAATCCTAAGATACATCCATCCAATGAGGAGACTAAGAAATTGAACAAACCAGTTCTCAGAAGTTCCACCATCGAACGCCTTGCAACTGCCCGAGTAAGTCAGCCGAAGGTTTCACCAAGTCAAGCAAAATCTGCTCCAACCAAAAAACCACTCTTGAAGGCAAATGGTGTACCGTTGCAGAAGACTAGTAGCACAGAAAAGAAGCAGGGCTCGAAAGAAATCAAATCTTCAAGTCATAAAAAAGACACGAAGAAAACAAATGGGGAAGTTCTGGCCTCCACTAATGGCAAGGCTAAGGATGAAATGGAAGACTCAGTTGCATTGCCAATGAACTCTAGTGCGGCACAATCTGTTGAACCAAATAACAATAATCTTGATTTGAAAGACAACGGCGAGCTAACCAAGACATCATCAGAGAAACACACAACATATTTGATTTCAGAAAGAGAGCATGTACCAGGAAATGTTGGCCGGATTAAGTTGGACACTTCTTTTCCAAATCACGATCGCGCATTACAAGGAGTTGAACAAGTGTCAAACAAGTTGTCTTCACTTCCTGGTGATAACAAGCCTCAACACATTACTGATGAGATCACACATCCTGCAGCTGCATTACCCAGCAAACCGCTTACAGTTTCTGCTGTGGACTCGAAGGGTAGTCAAGAAATAGATGAAAGTAATGCTATCTTTTTTAATGTCACTGAGAAACAAATTTCTACCCCTCCACCCAGTAGCCAAGTGATGCCAGAACCAGTCCACTCCAGGAAAAAATGGAACACTGATGAGGACTCTTCAAAACCAGCAAAAGGATTTCGTAAGCTTCTATTCTTTGGAAGAAAGAGCTGAAGCACCCTGGTGGATTGGTACAGTACAAATTGGTTCGTAATAATTCTCTGAACTGTTACGACAGTTATCACTTCTCTATTCTATGCTTTTGGTTATTCAACATTTCAAAAGGAGTTTACTTTGTCCATTCTTTTGCTCAACAGAAAGTGTTTGGCACATTCAATTATTTGTTTTGAACATGCCTATGGCCTGTGGAAGATTGTAGATAGTTACCAGCTTGCCACACCTATAACAACATGGAATTGGTAGTTGCTGTCACATTAGAGATCCATGATGTAAATTATCTGAATATGGTTTTGTTTCCTACGGAAGGATTTCATAGGTCAATAAATTTTCCATGTTGGAACTTGGAACACTATTCGAGGTTCATCTTGTTTCATGTCATTTGATGCCAAAACCTGTTTCCTTGTATTGCAAATCTTGAAAGTTGTAATGTTTGGTGTGTATTGCTTTGGTAATATTTCATATTGCAATGATGTGTTACAACATTGAATTATTTTCTTGTTCGTTTTATCCCTTTGAGGCTCCAATGAATGTTAAATCACTGTAGCATAGTTCTGAAGTGATTCGAAGGAGAAATAACAGTGACGTGCAATTGATGCAAAGGGATTAATGGTAGCAACAATGCACCGACATAAATAGCAATAAATGTGACAGTGATGTGTATGACACGACAATAAACACGACAATAAAAATGTTACCTGAAAACCAGTTCTCAAGCTCGGAAGAGTGAGCTGTAAATTAGAAATGAAAAAGTTGAATTGAGATCTACGAATCTAATTTAAAGATTTTGACGAGATAAAAATAGTGTTATATATATTTAATTCACTTACGAAAAAGAATATAAAATAGTATTATTTTTGTGTCTGATAAGAAAAAATAATTTTAAAATATAATTTCATTTTTAAATTTCTTAAAAACAATAAAAGTAATATCAAAAAATTAAAATCAAGTTTTAAAACATAACTTTAATAACACATAATAAATTGCAGTTGTATTCAAAACATGAATTTTATTATTTTAAAAAGTAAAGTTATGTTTTAAATATGACATGTTTATTATTTTAATTTCTTTTATATTTTAAAAAAACTATCCTAAAACGTGAAATCATTTGTCTAGTGTGATATTTTAATAACTTAATTTATCAAAACTAACACTCTATACTAAAAACATATATTACATTAATAATTTTTAAAAATTTAAATATTTTTATAAAAATTTAAATATTTTTAATCTATGCAAATATGACTTCATCTCTTTAATAAATATTTATTAAGTTTTTATTGTAAAATTTCTTTAATAGGTATTTTTTTTAATTATTAACTAATGTAAAAGAGGGTTTTTATGTTTTTTTATTATAAAATAACTGATTTAAAAAAGTGCGATGATTTTCCTTAAATAATAAATGTAATTTTTATGTCGAGTCTCTATAAGATTTGGCGTAAAAGTTATATTTTATTTCACGTAGGATTACTTCTTTTTTACACTTGTAAGGTTTTCAAGTTGATGATAGTAGCAGCTGCCATTGTAGTACGTCAAGGGTATTTTTTTACCACAACGAGTGACAACGATAACACCTATATTATGTTCCATTTGTGGTGGTGGGCGTTTTGAGTGGCATCGGTAACTCCTATATTAGGTTCCATTTGTGGTGGTGGATGTTTCTCTTCAATTGAAGAGCGTTTTGTGTATTTTTTATGTTAGTGTTCTATATCTCTAATTTTATGTTTAAATTGAATCTATAATTGTTTTAGGGGATTTCAATCATAATATTGCATGAATGTCTCTACTACATTGTTATTGAAATTGAACTATTATTGTTATTGTTTGTGATGATCTTTTTATTCGTTTGAGTGCACCTACGATTTATATAGTGTAGTCACTGCTACAGATATGCCTTTCAACGTCGGTTATATGAGGCTTTCAACGTCTGTTATACAACCGACGTTGTATCAGGCGACGTTGAAAGTCTACACTTTCAACGTCGGTTCTCTATACCCGACGTTGAAAGTTTGGCTTTCAACGTCGGTTATTCATACCCGACGTTGAAAGTGTATACTCGTCGCTCAAGCGAGTACACTCGTCGCTCAAGCGAAATTGAACCGAGAGACCCCTTTGTTTGAAGCTTTCGTCGCTTAAGCGAGTACACTCGTCGCTCAAGCGAGATGGAACCCGAGAGTCCCCATTGTTTGAAGCTTTCGTCGCTTAAGCGAGTACACCCGTCGCTCAAGCGAGATGGAACCCGAGAGTCCCCTTTGTTTGAAGCTTTCGTCGCTTAAGCGATTACACTCGTCGCTCAAGCGAGATGGAACCTGAGAGTCCCCTTTGTTTGAAGCTTTCGTCGCTTAAGCGAGTCTACTCTTCGCTCAAGCGAGATGGAACCCGAGAGTCCCCTTTGTTTGAAGCTGTCGTCGCTCAAGCGAGTACACTCGTCGCTCAAGCGAGTACGGGTTTACTACGTCGGTTATGGTATGAACCGACGTAGAAAGTCTATTTTTTTTTTAAATGGACGCTTTGTTTATACAGGGTACCCAATGTTTGTATATATACATACCTGCAAATTTGAATACAACCCAGGCAGACAATGTACAAGATATAAACAATTGAATGTGCATCCAAAAATAAAATTGTATCCAAAATTATTGTGTATCCAACTACTTATCTACCAAATACACTAACTACTAATCTAACTAATAAACTAACTAGTAAACTAACTAGTAAAGTAACTAAACTAACTACTAAACTAACAACTAAACTAACTACTAAACTAACTACTAAACTAAGTACTAAATTAATAACTAAACTTGCCTACTTCTAACTTTAACAAACTTATCGGCCCATGTGTTTCTAATATCGTCAATGGTCTCTATGGGCAATGCTTCCCTGTCTGAAAATACCTGTTACAAGAAAAAAGATAATTTAACAGAGTATCCAATGACACAATACTTGGGTCTTTTATTGAATACTAAATTTAAGCAAACCTCGATTCCATGTATCCTCAATCTTGCTAACAACAATCAGCCACATCCAAGTGCATAACATAATATCCGCACTCATAAGATCCTGGTTGCCTATTACACTACAAAAAATAATATATTAATTTGACATATAAAATGAATGATATAATACATAAATATAAAAGGACTTACATTAACAAAAATCCAATCTGGAGTCGTGCTTTTGCTTGTGTGTACTCCATCGGTTGTATTGCAAACCTTAAATGCACTCGTGCAATACAAGATATAATGAAACAATTAAGTAACAAAACAATTAATAATTGTTTAAATTATTATAAGAATGTGTACCTGTTTACAATGTTTTTAAGATCTGCATCAGGTTTCTTGCCCAAGTGAGCGGAACCAAGCCACAACATTCTGCTTTGGGCAAACAACCAACAACTGCCAATGATTTCTGCTTACATTACAAAAAGTTAGGATAATACAATACACTATAAAATTTAATACGAATAATTTCATACGCTTAAATACTTACTGATGGTGGTAAGCACCCAAGTAAACTTTCTTCCTTGACTTCATCATCCAATTTTGGATGTATATTTGAACTTCTTCTCTCTTGTTTCCTGATTTTTGTATGGATTGGGGCTCAAAAAATCCATACACATCTTGGGTGCGTTGTTCCTCCGACAATTCATTCAGCATCCTAAAGTAGCTAGTTCAATGTACATTAAATATGACGATAACTTCAAATAACATAATTAATAAATAAAAATAAATACTTACATTGTCCAAAATTGTAACACTACTATGTTTAGACACTGATTGCCAACTGCTATCTCCACAACATCGGTGTGGTCAATGTAAAGGGGAAAGTTCCATTGTCATATCCTCCTCTTCCTCAGCTTGTGTTACTATTGGTGTATCAATCACTTCACCATGCCATGTCCATATGATATAATTATTCATTATCCCATCACATAAAAGATGTTCCCGTATTGTCTCTAGTGTGTGTACTCTCCCATTAACGCGGTTAACGCATGGACAATACAATTTTCCATTAACCTTGGTGCCATTGTGTTCGGCAAATCGCAAAAATTCTTCAACTCCATTCTCATACTCTTGTGAAATACGACTTGTATTTACCCAACTTCGATCCATTTTGGAATTGGAGTCTACAAATGAGAAACCCATAAAACGATTATTACTAATAATCGTTATCTCTAATGAAATCTATACCAAAGTAGATTAATTTGTAACGAAATTTCAACAGAATTTCGTCTATTTTTTGGTCAAAACCAAATTTGTATAAATTGAAATTATAGAGTTTTCATTGTTACTACCATCACTTATACAACTACATTGTTATATGTAGTTTTCAGAATTCACACTTCATGATTAATTTCTAACAAAAATCCGGCAGAGTTTCCTTTGTTTTTTGGCAACAATTTTAAATGACACAGTAAAACCTGACAATAAAAAGCCCCACGGGCATATTCAAGCAGTTCAAGTATAATTGTACACATCATCAATACATTGAAAAAAACTATAATATGACTAAGAATTGAATCAACAGTTAACGGCAAATGACTAACAATCTCTACCTATGAAATGTAGTAAGTAAAATTGTATGACTTTGCCCAACAAATATAAGTGCAACAACATCGTACCTGTGGTTTAAGGCAGCGATGAAGGTTCGCACCACAGAGAAACAGAGCAGCGCTGCACTGGGGTGGAGGTGGAGGATGCAATGCGGCGTTAGGGTCGAGGCTGTGGTGAGCGGACAATGCAATGTGGTTGGAGGCTGCAATGCAATGCAATGGGGTGGTGGCGTTAGGATGCAATGCAATGTGGGTGGAGGCTGCTAGCGTCGCGGTGGGCAACTAGCGTCGCGGTGGGGTGGAAGCTGCAGTGGGGTGGAGGTGTCTGCGGCGGGGTGTCACGCGGTGCGCGGTGGCGACGTGAGGGAGGGCGTCCGGAGAGTCCAAATCACGGTGGTAGGTGGTGGTCGCGATGCTGGAGAGTAAGGGGAGTGGGCGCGATGTT